CGGGGTAAATTTTTCTAATTCCACATGCCATGCCTTTTGGATATCACAGTTTCAGTTAATTTCCTTTAGTAACTCGACTTTCCAAGTTTTTGTTCCCTCTGATGTGGCCAAGTATTGAACTGACAACTACTTGGGTCAAGTTACTTTTTGGATTACTCAGTCAACATTTTTATCCAATATACCATGTGTCCTTGGTTCGGTTCGAAATTCCAACGTATATCACCCGAAGAAGGCCGGGGCGTACAACGGCCGAAACTTCGTGAATCTGACAATAAAGATAAGGACAACAGTCCGAACGATGTAAATGTAAATAGTTAGGAAAATTATAGTCATATTTAAACCCACGTCTTGCTTATTAATCTTAAATTGAATGTCAAACAAAAGTTTAACGCCCGGGATAAACTTTAGGTAATGATAAATACTTGCAAATTCCAAAGTTAGTTAGTTTTGCATATTTTTTCATGGTGTTTAGTTTGAATTTTCTTTTGTTGTTTTTCTTTTTTTTTTCCTTTATTAGCACACACTAATTTACCCACACATTGGTTAATTTCCGTATTAAAGACACTATTGGTAACGAAAGAAATTTATTCTTGAAATTGTTAAAATTCAACATTCTTGATTTAAATTGATATCCTTAAAACAGAAATTAATGCACTACTACACTTTGTCTTTTATTAGTTGTTTCATTTGAAAGATGGCATAATTACGTCTCATGTATATAAAAATTAATCACAAATTTACAAGCAAAATGTCAGTATTGTCTGAAGAAAGTTCTACGCAATGCTTCACGCATGCGTGTGGGATAACTACTATAGTGCATTACCACCTCTGAGTGTGTGTTTTACTTTTATGTGTCTCGAAGAGTTCGTGCGTTTGTGAATTTGTAAAGTTTACTGGTTGGTTCACACATATATCAGTATTCTAATAAATGTGACTTCTAATGCAAAAAAGACATATTCAAATATGTGTGTTTATAAATAAATCTCAAAGTGATGAAGATTAGCCTTTCTTTGTACAAAATATTTTTTTTAATAAGCAGGCCGGTGCAAGGGTCTCGTGCCTCCCGAATCTATGAAACAGGACCTCGCTATAAATTTTCAAGGTAGTATTCATAAAATACAGATCTTATTGTAACTTAATTATGTACAATAATGAAAGAAATGCAATATAGATGAACAATTCAACTCGAAATAATGTATCGCTAAATAGAAATTAGGGAGAATTTCCATCTTAAATAAATCAACAATGTTTTGCGACAATTTTTAACATCAGCTTGAGATTTTTCTTGTTAAAAAGTTGAATAAACACATTCAACATAATGATTTTTATATAGTGCTTTCTCGACATTGAGCATGGCAAAACAAATTCAGGGATTTTAGCAAAAAGAAAAAGAAAAAAAGACTCCAACGTAACCCTCGACCTCGAGTGCCCCCCACCCAGGTTTTGTACAGGGTGAACTTTACTGTTAAAAAGAAAAAGAATTATGCAAAATTTCGCGAAAATTTTTCATCAGTCAGTTGTGCTTAGTTTCTTTAATTTCTAATGTATGTAAATGTCGGTAGAAAAAAGCAAATATTGATAAAATAGCGAGGGTCACAATATGCACTACCAGTGGCCCCCAATCAGACTCCCCACCCGGTCAGGGAGATTATGGGAAGTACGCGCCGGTCCTTTCGATAAGTGTTTGTTATTCAAAAAAAAAAAAAAAAAAAAAAAAAAAAAAGAAAAGGTTTTTATATTGTAAAGTAAGTGCTCCTCTCTGTCAATCCATAACTTGTATCAACAAGAAATTTCACATGAAACCGTTTGCTCAGTAGGTTGTGTATTAGCCGCCAAAAGTATTGACTGAACGCTAAACAACACAGTGTTCAAATACAATGAAATAGTTTCGAATGCTGATTTTCCAGGTGAGCCTGGCGTACTTTTCCTAATCGGAAATAATGTCTGAAATAGAGTAATTTCTTAACATTTTTTTTTTATTTATCTCAAACCAAAAGCAAAAAAAAAAAACACTATCTTTTTTTATTCTTTCATCTTTTTGTGATCGGAATTTGTTTCTTTTTTAAAATCAGTACTGTAGTGGTTCCCGTTTATGTCCCACTTTGACAGCTAAAAAAAATAAGCATCTCAATACACCTGAAGATTGTTAGAAGAAATCACGTAGGAAGCGTTAACAATGGAATGCTTTTTTTTTCTCTTTTTCATCGACATTCTAAATTACCTCCACAAAATATTCACCTACACCCGCATTTTTGTGTGTTCGGAACCACTGTGGACTTACACATTGATTAGACAAAAAATATTTTGCCGATAACTTTTTACGATACTAAAAATAATAAACCCATAATGCACCCGATTTAATGGATGCGGGCCCTTTACAATCTCCTGATGGTCAAAACTTTTTAGAGCTTAAGTTTTCGATAAGTTTTCTGTGAAAAATGATTCATTTTCTACTCAATAAGGTGTCTAGTCTACATTTTTAAATCCATTCTGTTTCGTTAGCACAAACAAGTGACACCTGCGCTATGTGTGTTTGTGTGTGTGCAGCTGCGCGTCTGTTTAGCAAAGTACGACTTCTCTGCCCATTCTGTCACTTGGCATTTCGATACATCACATTTTAACCATCCATCTGCCATAGACATTCTGATGGTTAATTCGTGAAACCTCATGGATTCCAATCCTTACTATTTTCTTTCAAATGCCTTACATGTTTAGTTTAGTTTATCGTTTCTTCTGCTAAAAAAAAAACAAAATGTTATTCAAAAAGTAACCTTATTCACTTTCAAGTTTCAACAATAATGGCACTTTTTTATACGAACTAGTCAATAAGTCCGTAGCTTCTCTTGTTGCTTTCTTGAAACTAAAGCGTGGAAACCTAAACTTTTAGTTTATTAAGTGAGAAAAAAAAAACAACAACACTCGAATGGTATTTCTAATCTTTAAAAAGAATATATTTTGGGGGAAAAAGAAAAGGTGTGAATTATTCCTTGCGAAAGAGAAATAACTGCATGTAATCGTCATCGTTTAAATGTTCAGATGAAACTCAGTGTCATGTCGAATTGACATAACGAAACTTGATTCATCAAAATTGTCAAGTGTGGAAATCAGTGTCTTTCTTGACTCAAACTCACTGTTAGTTTCATAAATGTAAAAAAAAATCTCTGAATTAACCAAATGACAATCAGCGCCTCGTAGTTTAACTCCAGCTACTTGACACGGTTTTTGATTAAAATTACACAGGGTGGTTGTTTTTTAATTGTTAAAACATGGAAAAAAAAAAAAAAAAAAAAACATGTGAAAATCTTTTCATTTTAAATCTTAAAGCCAAAATAATATTAAGTAAGCCCAGCATTTTGTTTTGCATAAAGCTGCAATAAAACCATCGAAAAAAAATTAGAAATGTTTGTACTCATTTCTCTTCTTGTAGAAGAATAATCCATTTTTAAATCCAAAAAAAAAAAAATCCACATTTTTACTATTCATTTCATATCCTTTTCTTTTTAATGAATATTTGTTCTTTTTTTTCTCTTTTTTTTTTTTTTAACAAAAATGCATAGGCTGTATAAATCCTGATTTTGTTTTGTAACGTTTACTTGACACCAGGTGATTACAAATCAATTGCAAATCCGGATTTAAAGAGATACGTACGGCTCCCTTTTTGGAATGTTGTTGTCAGTAAAAATAATAATTACAAAAAAATAAATAAAAATGAGAAAAAGAATAGAAAAATGATAACAATAAGTGAAAGTTTCCATAGGTGACTGCAGGGGTATGAAAAGCGCGTGTTTGAAGAAAGACCTAACAGATCCGAACGTGTGTAGGTGCGTGGAGAGCACTCCCTTCTTCATCTTCCCAAAAGCCAAGCGCGTCTTGTGTCGCCGTTGCTGCCTCTGCTGCTGCGAGTATGATGATGGAGACTCCGCTGCAACCTCGGCAGTATCTCTATCTTTGTCATTACCACCAGTACTACTATTACTACGAGCATCATTAGTAAAAGCCGACAACTATGACTAGAGGAACGAAGTACGGGACTATTGCAACTGCTTCCTCCCTCTGCTTTTTGCCAAGTTATCAATAAGGATGATGATGATGATGAGGATGTATTGGGAAACTGGTGTCAGTGATGCTTCGACTACAGTTACTACTGCTACGACTACTTCATCACGATTAATACTACTACTAATCTGACAACCAAACGCAGTTCTTGTTCGTGTCGAGTGCGTGCGTGTGTGTATGTGTGTGTTTCTGTTTATATATATATATATATATATATATTTAATTTATATATACATATATGACCTCCTCCTTCTACTCCTTTTTCTTCTTTTTGTCCTTCTTGTTGTCGGTTCCGTAATGATGGTGTGATACAATGATCCATGCTCTGTATCATTATTGGGCGGTAGGAGGAAAAGAAAACACAGAAGAAGACAGAGAGAGACCAAGTGAGAGAAAGAGAGGGAAAGTAAGAAGAGAAGGTGGAGGGTAGGGACAGAAAGGGAGAAAAGAAAACTGAACGAAAGAAAAAGTCAAGAAGTAAAAAAAAAAAAAAGGTGGTAAAGATAAAAAAGTAAAAAGTATGAAGAAAAGGGAGAAATAATCTCTAACAACAAGTACAACGCACAGGGGGGAAAAAGAAAGAAAGAAAGAAAGAAAGAAAGAAAGAGGCAGAAACTCTAGAAAATGAAACTGATGAGACAGCAGCGGGGGTAGCAGTAGCAAATGCTAGTGAAACGGAATTGCCCAGCCAGTGGACCTGGTAACACTTACAACTGGAAGTAAGTTCTTTGTACAGGAAAAAAAAGGCAACGGAGAGAGAAAGAGAGAGAAGGAGGTGGGAATTACGGACATAAAAAAGAAACGAACGGCGAGGGACGGACGGACGTCGGGGGTGCGTATGTGTGTGTGGTGGCTGGTGGTGTTTGTTTAGCGTTACAAGTATGAAGCACCTCTGGATCAGGCACTTCGGACTTACCTTATATCTCTGGCTTTTTGTTATTTTAATGCAGTGTATTTACGCTACGTTCTATAGGAGGAAACCTTCACCAGGTAAAGGTATCTGTCACTTTTTTTTTTAAATTTAGATTTTTCCCCATTGATTTTTTTTTTTTTAAAGTCTGATTTTTTTCTTCTTCTTCTGTTGTCCTTCATGTTTTTCTCTGTCCGTCTCTCGAGCACATCAGTTCACATCTTTCTTTCTCACTTGTCTTTCATTCAGTTTTCTGTTCATTCAAGTATTCTCTCATCTCATTCATTCATATTTTTTTCTCAAGTTTTCCTAATTTCGTTTCTACTCGTATTTTCTTAACTAGTACCATTTAAAAAAAGAAAAAAGTAAAACAATAATAGCGCATGTATCTCTTTCTCTATTTCATTAAAAAAAATCTCCTAAACGTCTTGAATTCAGTTCTTGGTTAAAGTGACATAAATAATAATAATAAACACGCACAAACAAACCGAACGCAAACCCCAAACTTTCTGCTTCATCAAAGACTAAAAAAAGTCAACATGTTTTAAATCTGAAAATTAGTGTTTTCAACTCAGAGAATAAGTTTCAGTTTATTTGATATTTTAATAATTTAACAATTAGCTAAAGAAAAGTATTTCTTAATTCAATGAATAATAATATAATACTACTAACTCTCTCTCTCTGAACCGAAAATATTCAAGACATAGTCTTAAAGTTAAAACGAAAAAAAAAATCTTTTTTTTCCTATAAAAAAAGATCGCTAGTCTCTCGTCTAAATAAGTTTTTAATCAAATCCATTTCATTCATGTATATTTTTATTTTTTTACTTAAATAAAATTTTTTTACACAAAAAAGCCCGAATGAACGAACGTTCCAATGAAATCATTTTCTGCATATATAATTTTAAACATAGTTAAAATAAGAGTTTTTAAATAGTTAAAACAATTATGTAACTTACCTGGAAATAATTATAATTCTGAGTATGATGTGTAATTAATAATCCTAAACTACAACACTACTGTATATGACCCCACCATTCAACCCAACGCACACAAAGAAAAAAGAAAAAGAAAAGCACCACCAGGGCGGACATGAAGTGCAAGAAATTAACTCGATCTGATCTGTAAAGACAAAGTAAAAGAAAAAAGTGAAGAAAGTGAAAATGATCATATTGAAGGTTATGTCGAGAAATGTTCTCAAACTCAATGTTTATTGTTTATGTTTGTCTAATTAAATTTAAACCCAAGAAGGGAGTAGGCACGTCTTTTTTTTCACGTGTAAGCTTTCGGTAGAGAAACACCTGTTTTACAAACATTTGACTAGAACGACAAGGAAAACTTTATTTGCATTCGAAATCATAAGTAGAAAAAATAGTGCTAGGCATAAAACGCCTGAGTGGATACCCATCGACAATCTCCCCGACATCAGCTGTGTTATGCCCCTCCCTAACTACCTACAACATATATCTACCCGAACAACTCGGGGACCTCCACATGTCGAACTGCTAGTGACTTTTTTTTTCTTATTCTCATCACTGTCAGATGACAGATTTCTTACTTGAGTTTTGACAAATTTTGGTCATAGAAAATAAATTTTCCTTAATGGTAACTGTCGCTGTAGATGAAATATTTCGACAAGCTGTAGTACATATGTACATCACTATATTGGTAGAACATTGGACTAAAAATGTCATCAGCTCTGATTTCCAGTAGTAACACATTTATTGGCAAACCCGCCGTGTTAGCTGAAGACACTAAGAGAAAAAAAATGTTGCTTGGAAAGTCTAAGGAAAACATCATGAAGTACACCATTTCCAAAGTTACCAGTTGAACGGTTTCATTCTTAAGGTAATTGAATAAATGGCATAAACAATAAAGTAGGTAAAGAAGATAAAGATATACTGGATCGATTTTTGTTATACAAAAATGCACATCTAATATCGTTGATGTTGGATACGCAGACAAGAATACAGACCTTACCCCAAGCGAAATAAAGAAAAAGAGCGGGTAGGTTTTGTAATTGTACTTAATCCTCATAGTTGCAATGGGTGGGGAGGGAAGTACCAATATGAAAAAGAAACCATTAAAAAACGAACTATGCATTGAGTTGAGAGAGTCTTTTTTCCGAACAGTTTATGATCAATCAATAGATTATTTATTTATTTATTTATCTATCACAGTTTCGAATCAGTACTCGGTATTTAACTTTAGTATAGGTAAGCAGAAGCTTTTTATTTAAATTTTTTAAAATGCTGGTTTTTAGAGTAGGTAGCATGCTCAAAGTCAAAAGTCAAAAGATTGGTACTGTTTCTGACACCTTAGGAAACAGAGAGAACATCTCAAAAATCTACAAAAGTTCCCTAATGTGAATAAAAGAGAAAAAAAAAGAAAAGGAACTACGTTGATCCAATTTTAGAATTTGAAGTTTGTCTCGAACAATAACTTAAAAGTGGTAAGTTAAAGACGTCGGAATTGATTTTACCACAAACCACAACAATAACTGGGACTGCTACTTTAGTGCTACTCACTTTACTTAGCGGTGAATGTAGCTTCGAGCCAATGGAACAGGATCGACTCAGTTTGTGTCGATTCAAAATGAACAGGGTGGGAAAAATGATTTCAAGTAACAAGTTCACTTGTTTTGCTCTAAATTTAAAAAAAAAAATCTTGACTATGGAAGAGATTGCTTATGTATATTCAAAAATTATTATTATTTTTTTAAAGTAAGGATTAATAAAGGTCTTTTTTTTAAACAACTTGTGAGCCATAGAACTTTCTCACCTCTCCGACAAGAAACGTCACCAGACAGATGATTTTTTCCCCCTGCGTTTCTCTAAAATATTCGTATGCATGGATTTTTCACACTATTGTCACGTCGGCATACATGTTGGTGGCTACCAAGAACTATAGAAATATAGCAGTGGTTACTCACTCGTCTACGTACCTCACTTCAGCTGCTCCAAGTATTATATACACTTTCCCTTTTGGCAACAAAGGATTTCCATTTTCCTTGATGCAATTTATTTTTTGTACAGTTGGTGCAAAAATTAGACATTAAAGTGGTTGTGTGTTTCTTTTTTTTTTTAAGCTAAACAATAAAAATGGTTGGAGGTATTTTATTATTTGCAAGTGTCAATGTTTTAAAAGCCGTTTATCAACCTAAAGTAAAGTTTATTCAGATGAATCTCACTCAATAATACTGTAGTGTACTTGGTGGCTGAGATAGTTGCTTATTTTATTCTGACACTCCAGTAATCAAGCTTTGAAAAAGCTAGTGTTTCCAATGTTGACTTTCTTAACTGGAAAACTGACGCAACACGATCTTCATTCATTCTCAGCAATCGATACATTCTTGTACTTGTAAGCTCAGATAAAAACCACATTCATATTGCAATAATCTCTATTCTCTAGCTATGTTTCTTTATGAATTTATCAATAGATCATTCTTTTTAGAGTTTAGAGACGGTCTTCAGGAGAATATTTATTGTTGAGTTTTATGCATATGAATATGTTATGAAACTGATAAGCTATATCAGGAAACCGTGACAAGATATTGATTTAAAATAGACGTTTGTGTATGTTTTAAAGAATTTATATCTTTCATCATTTTACGAGTCTGTTGTTGCCCTTAGCTGTAAGCGAATATGTATCAATGATAATAGACTTCTTGTGTGTGTTAGTTTTATGTGTGTGTGTTTGCATGTGTGTTAAATGTATGTATTCATTCAGTATTCTGATGTACACACACATGGAGGGCGCACTACATTTAAACACACATACAGACATCAATAAATATGTCTGCATGTATCCTATTAAAATAAATAGATATAGTGTACACACACACACACACATGGGGTGTGGACATATATTTAATTTTAATTTAACACATGCAGACCTAAACGAGCCGTAAATTTCAAACACGAATATCCACTAAAACACTGTTTGAAGTAATTAAAATGGATTTAAATCCAATTAATTTAATTATACATATTTGCTGACTCCTATCACAAGACAGAACAATATACATATGTTTGTGTGCCTGGCTGCGTAAGTTTCATGTCTAACTCATATTTACCACTGAAGATATACACACGAGCACACACGCATGCGCGCGCACACACACATTATTATATATATATATATATATATATATATATATATATATATATATGCGTGCGTATGTGTAACTGTCTTTCTGATTCATTGTCACATGATAGAGACGAGTGTATATACTTTTTAGAAAATTAAGTGCTCTTACTTAATTATTAACACTTTTTTTTTGTTTATGTCTCCACAAATACAACACATACAAAATACAGATTGCTTTGCTAGGATAACTGAGCTGACGTGGGGACAGAGTAAAGCAAAGAATTTAGTCAATTGCAATATAATTTACTTTACTTGTAAAAGTTTATTTAAAATCCCTATTCTAACGAAAGTTTCTCTCCACCTGAAACTCTTTGTCACAGCAATCTGTATACTGTAGTATACTGTATACATCCATAACATCTATTTTTTTGAGAAAAAAAAATGCTCTTGAAAGACAAATAAAATCATAAATGCTTGACTAAACCATTTTCTTCCAAATGTCAAGAACTAAATAAAAAAGAAATGATAAATTACAATAAAAATAAACACATTGCATTATCTCTTTTCCGATTGGCTATTTTTATCATGAGTTTGTTAAATAAATTTTTTCACATCAACAAGCAAATGCTTTAGTTCAAGGTTAATTTTTACCTAGCTTTTATTAGTTTATTTTTAAGGAATCCGTGACAAGTGGCATTTAGGAATTTTTCTAATCAATTATCGTTTTCCAATTTCCAGCCCTCAGTTCATTTATCTGTTTTTTCTAATTGTAGTCTTACTCTTATTTGCAATCATCATTCATAGTGCCACACAACATATTTGAATTTGATCGAAATAACTAAAAATAACAGTAACTGCTTTCCAAATCTCAAACTAATCTCTCTCTAGTCTTTATCTCTTCCTTTAAATGCTTATCTGTCAATGTTATATTCTCTGAGTCTGAAATAAATCAATTTGAGTTGATCAGGAAAATATTCCCTCGTCCGTACGCATTCCTT